GGAAAGGAAAGGAAAGGAAAGGAAAGGAAAGGAAAGGAAAGGAAAGGAAAGGAAAGGAAAGGAAAGGAAAGGAAAGGAAAGGAAAGGAAAGGAAAAGAAAGGAAAGGAAAGGAAAGGAAAAGCTTGATATTTCATCTCTGAAATTTCTTTTTTTTTATGATAAACAGTATGAAAGAACTGGATTTTTAATGTTCTGTTTTTGCCATTGCCATAAAACATCTATGCTTAGAATTCTAAATGATATATCAGATAAAAAATGAACATTTTGAAATCTGAGTATTTATGCATAACTGGAGACTTGGATTTGAGCAGGATTAAAAGGTGAGGACACASCAAATTCTTAAATAGTGCCGTAAGAAAAGCCAAAAACACTCTAAAGCAAAAAACACTCTCTAGATTACAGGAGCAGGGTTCTGAAGATGTGTCTTCAAACTCTTCAAACTATTTTGTGATTGTTTTTCCAAGTCAGCTTTCCAGAAGTATCCATAATTTCATCTATAGATATGTAAAAATAAATATTTCAGCATTCCTATACATGCAGTCACTTACATATGACATATCACATCCCACATTTCAGAAGCACCCCATATTTTTTCCCTGCTTAAAATTATAAGCTAGTATCACTGCTGTATGCAGTGAATCCACAGCATATAAACATACATTTTATAAAACACAAAAACCAGCATACTTCAACCCATATAAACCTATATAAACAGAGCTCRTTTCTATTTTCTGGGTTTTATTATCTCACTACAGCTGCCCAAGAAAACTAACCTCATTCTTTTACTTACGTAAGAAAGAAATCTGTCTTCTCCTAAAACCAACTGCCTCTAGAATGATCCTTTCCATTTTCTGTGTCATTGTTAGGCAAAATATCTGTCTTCTCATCAATTTTATGTCACCTAATTAGGAGATCTAAGTCTAACTTTTGCCCTGGAAACAGTCACAGCACATCCTTAATATGCACTTTTATTATATGGTTTGCTAATGTCAGCTGGCAGCACTTTTCATTTTCACCTTGCTATTGCAATAAAAAAAATATGGCCCACCCTGGACTACCACAGATTTACATTCTAAAATAGAGGCTGTAAGAGCATCTTAGCTGCAGTCCTAACAATGGGAGCTACACCTGAGAAATTCCATGTTCATGGTAATCATTAATAGCCTTTAACTTGATAATAATCTGACCAATTTTCTTCATATTGTATTTTGCAGCAAAACAAACAGTTGGGTGCCATCTTAGAGTGATTTCATTGCAACAAAAGTACAAATGTAAATGCTTGATAACTGTGTACAGCTGCAGAGCTCCTGTTCTTTTCCGTCTGTTCTAAAAGCATTTAGCCTTCTCCAAAGAACTACGAATACATCATGTTTGTGATCAGCAGTAACCCAGCACTCTGAGATCTAGGCAGCAGAGAAAAAATTGTTTCATATATAATAATATCTCTATAACAATGGGGATAACAAACAAACTTTTAATTTTAAGGCTAGGCTATTTAGAGGATTCCTAGAAAGGCAAGCATCCAATTCTCAATGGGTTGCAGAGATATATGAAAATTTAACTCTCTTAAAACCCTTTTTCTTTTTCCAATTCCAGTTGAAGTGAAAGGTCATATACATAAAATTTCTGTACCTTAATATGGATTGAAGTGATATTGCACATTTCAGCTCAGGCATTGATTGAATCTCTTTGCCCTACATAATTGTATTTCTACAAAACACTTTAAATRAGTCTCAACAACAAATAAATTCTTTGTTCTCTGAAAATCTAGCACTTTCCAGGAAATCAGAACCATGTTTCTATGTATGTCTCAATATGAATGTCTAAATGCTAAGTTAGGAAATTTCTTATATGCAACAGATTCTGCCAGTTTTAAGGTGGGTTTCAGTTTGCCTACACATAGCCATCCAAGCTAGGCACCTACTGGAAGCTAATTAGCTACGTGCCCTTGGTAAGAACTGGAGACCTAGATGCCTACAGATGAATCATTATACTTCAGGCATCTATCTTTAGGTATGTGCTACTCTCTGAAGATGATACCTCTATCCAATAAATATGAAGAGAATTTAGATGACCAGCAATATGCTTAATTTAATAGCTAAAATTAAGTGAGATACACCCTACCATGGAATACAGCATGGGAACTATCATCATTTGAGAAATAAAAGAAATTACTCAGATATCAGCACTACTGCCATCCTTCAGGATTTTTTGTTTTTATGCTTCAGAATAAAACAAAATAACACTTCCCACAAAGAAAATCCCAGAAACAGTCCAGCTCTAGAAGTCATTGGGATTCATTAGTAAAAGACATCTTTTTTGTCTCTGTGACTCAAGCTTAAGGGCTGGACTGGGAATTAGGTCAACCGTGATTAAGACACAAGTTCTGTACAAGCAAGAAAACATACTGAAACAAATGGGTCCCTAAAACAAAATCGAAAGTTGAATAGGAATTGACCACTGCCCTCGCTAGATACCGGAAAAATAAAAGATCTGTGATGTTAATCTAACAGACCATAACTCTCCTAGAGAGAAATCCTGCTTTTTTTTTTTTTTTTCAGGGAGGTGGGTTGTTTTTTTGCTAATTTTCATGAATCAGTAGAACCAGCTCATTTCCAATAAGAATAAACTGTTAAATCATTAAATAAAAACACTTTTTCACAGTTCCTATGACAGCCTTCTAAAGCAAAAAAAAAAAAAAAAAGCCTTTCAAGCTTTTCCACACATCTGTCTTAATATGTGACTGCAGAATAAATTTGAAATGTTAAGAACACTAACAGATTGCTATGTTGCAGAAAAGTTCATGATATCTTCAGATATGACAATAGCTATAGACTAATAATACATCTTGAAGAATCACATGTTGGTCTGTTTTCAAGAACTACRTTTAGAATAAATCCCTCAATTCTTCTGAACAATATAAAACTATTTATTCTATTATACAGACTAGCATTTCAATATCAAAACTATTCTATTATACAGACTTGCATTTCAATATCAAGAAGACACCAAAGGCTTTATTAAACCTCTATTTATGGACAGTTATTGCTGTATGTTACTGCATATTTGGAATTTGGCAAAATCAAAGAGTACAAAAATCTGAAAGTCAAGTGACAAAGTTCTTGTAATTAATTCCATAATTGTTAYGACTTCCAAAATTTTAATTTGGAGAAAGACTAATGAAAAGAATATGATCAAACTCCTAGAAATAGAAATAACTCCCTGATAATATTCATTAGTCTTAAATAATCTCATAATAAAATAAATGGAAGCTGTATCTCTGGAAATAGCTTGACCCAATCTGGACAAAGTATTACACAAAGAAATATTGGGGAACAAGTGACTTTTTTAACAAAGTTCTGCATTAACCTTTTTTTTTTCTTTTTTTCTTTTTTTTTTTCACCCTGCCCTTTTCTATAGCTTCTTGCACATAAGGCATATAAACTTACTTTAGGTGAAAGTTTTTGATATTTTTAGAGCTAGAG